TTTCATTTTTCATACACTCTCTCACTTTTGCTGATAACTCTTCGTTTTTGCTAGTTTTTTGCTCGTTATGTGTAAAAATGTGGGGCATCTTTATTTACTCCTACAAAGGTCCTTTTGAGCACATCCCTTTCTTTAAAAGGATTAAACGCGGGTCAAGTTCCACCTGAGATGCCTTCTTTTATTTTGATAAATTTTAATGAAAGTATCTGCATTTAACTGCAATTTCACCATAAGTTATTTGTTCTGACAATATTATGAGATGATATAGTGAAACGGAAAAAACGTAATGCAAATCTCAAAATGTATTCGATAGGAGAGAATAAAGTGTAAAAGTGAGCAAGTCGTAAACGTTCTGTATTTGCGTAAATGAGGAAGATGAACATTCCCAAATGTCTACTAGTCTAAACTTGCTCTTATTGTTTGCTTGGTTCACATTCTATCATAATCTTATGACACATATAAACTGTTTCTATTTGATGACGCCTAAAATGAAAAGGAATGGTAATTGTTCTAAAGTGTTTTAGCGTACATGTAGCTTCTAACTTGGAACTAGGGGAGTCTAAACTTGCTCTGATGAATACACCAAAATTTCATCATAGAACATTTTCTATAAAAGAGATTGAATTGGAGAATGATATATAAAAACGAAGTTTTTGGTTTCAACAAGTCTCAAATTTGCTGGTAACTGAAACAATCTAAAGAGATATTACTGGAAACTTGACTTTGTGTTCCTTCTACTCTTGCAGATAAGCTAATTCATGAACCAGTTCTTTCTTTTCTTATTCTTATACAAGTTTGGGAAGTTCTTCTCACCTATCCAGAATATGAAGAGACCCGTGAGTATGACTAGAAAATCGCTGCAGGCAAGAAACAGAAGATAGGTGTTTGCTGAGTTTTGCATCCTAGAATAAAAAACGATATCCATGCTTCATGCAAATACTAAGAGTGGAGTTACCTCTTGCGCGAGTACACGTAAACATTGGCGATATTCGTACAAACTCCAAAAAATGATAATGGAGGTAGAGCGAAGATGATTAGCGCCAAATTACACCTGAATTTCAATTTGAGGGCAGAAGGTTAAGATGCATAACATTGACTTTGCCAAAGCCCTTCAAGGAAAAAAAAACCTACTTGGCATAAAGCGGAGAGTAATCCTCTGTCTGAAGGTCTGAGCACATGCATTCTGTCGTGTTTGTTGCCACCTCATATTCAACCATGATGCTAAAAGTGAAAATATTAAATAACAATCCATATTGTTGTCCTCCAAATTTTTATTCTAGTGGTTTTTATCAAATTAATCTTCCTACTTCAGCAAACCTGGCTTCAATATAGGAGAAGAAACACTGTGGTTGTTCATATGTGCCTTTCTTAAACTTTCAAACACGAGGCTACTGCGCGATTTTCTATTTCTTCTGGCACACTGAGTTCTCAGCTTTTACTCCGATAATAATGAAAAGACGAATTTGGCTCCTATTCAGATTGTTGCATTCCACACGCCCAAAAATAGCACACCGGGGTTAACTTTTTATGCTTGACGCAAGCTCAATTTCGTAGAAAAAATTGGCATATCTGGAGGGTTACATGTCTGTCGTTTTAATGTGCCAATGCACTGGTGAAGCAGTTGAGATTGGAGAATAAATAGCAAAGTTTTGGATATTCCACATTTATGGCCTTCTTGTTGTAAATTTGTGAGCTTGCAGAAGA